ATTGCCCAACATGGAAAGCCACTCAGTGATGGGGAGTATATTAAAGAAGCATGGCTAGAATGTGCTCCTTTCCTTTTTGATAACCTTTCAGAAAAGGACAAGATTATTCAGCGCATTAAAGATTTGTCTGTGAGTAGAAAAACAGTTAAGGATAGGATACTTAAGATGGAAATGAATACAACTGACCAATTAACAAAGGATTTAGCTTCATGTAAGTTCTTTTCTATTTGTGTTGATGAAAGCACAGATATTACATCATCAGCTAGGCTAGCAATTTTTTCTCGATTTTGTAGGGATGATGAGGTATGCGAAGAGATGATTAACCTTGTAACACTACCTGAGCGTACCACTGGGGCTGACATATGTAAAGCAGTTGTGAACGAATTATCTATTCGACAAATTGACATTTCAAAAGTAGTATCCGTCACAACAGATGGTGCACCCAGTATGATTGGTAAGGAAGCAGGATTTGTAAATCTGTTTGCAAAACATGTTGGTCATCCGCTGATAGGTTTTCATTGCATCATACATGAGGAGGCTTTATGTGCTAAAGCTGGTCTAAGGGAACTTCAAGAAGTGATGCAAACAGTCACCAAGGTTGTTAATTACATTTCTGCACGTGCCTTAAATAAAAGACAATTTCGGAATTTATTGAATGAGGTGGATTCGGTGTACAAAGGACTAACAATGTACAACAATGTTCGTTGGCTTAGTCGAGGATTTGTTTTGAAACGATTTGTTGAATGCATGGATGAGATAAATCTCTTTCTGATTAACCAACAAATGTCTTATAAAGAAATGTCTGACATCGTGTGGGTTTGTAAACTAATGTTTTTTGCAGATTTATGTGAACATTTAAATGACTTAAATGTTAAATTACAAGGCTCTGGTAAGACACTTGATGTTATGTTTGATTACATAAAGGCATTTGAAATGAAACTAGGAGTTTTTAAGAGGGATGTAGATAGTGAAAGATTTAGATACTTTCCAAACCTAAAGAAATACATCAATGATCTCACAAAGGATGACAAAACAGACTGCCAGTGTCTTCAGAAGCTATTTGTAAACATCATTGAGTCAACTGTTGAGCAGTTCTCAACAAGATTTGCTAGGTTCAGAGAATTAGAAGAGACTGCAAAATTCATTAAGTTTCCAGACAGTATAAAACTGGATGAACTAAACTTGCAGAAGTTTTCATGGATAGATATGGATGATTTTGAAATGCAATTGATTGAATTTCAAACTAGCTCAATTTGGAGGCAGAAATTTGTTGAGCTTAGAGCTGACTTGGAAAGTATTGAAAAGGATCAATTAGAGAAGGGAGTAAGAGAGAGAAATGCCGAAAACGAGGTACTGAGGACTTGGAATACTATTCCAGAAACTTTTGTCTGTTTAAAAAAACTTGCAACAACATTACTATCCATTTTTTCATCTACATATTCTTGTGAATCATTGTTCTCAGTGATGAACTCTGTTAAGTCTCATAATAGAAGTAGCCTTACTGATGAAACTAGTAGCGCATGTATATCTCTCAAGGTTACAAAATATAAACCGGATATAAATTATCTATCATCAGGGATGCAGCAGCAGAAGTCTCATTGATTCTAAATAAAGAAAAGGTTCACAATTATTCGTTCTCTAATTTTCATTTGATGTATTCTGTTAAAAATATTAAGGATTCGCTTTGGTTTAATATAATACAGTGTGTATTTTTGTAGGTAAAATAACTTTTATATTTTCTCTGTGGTTTTTATGCATCATTCATAAAGGATTAAGAATCAATAAAAGAATATCTTTAGTTTTATATCCTTTTATTGTGTTTTAGTCGAGTAAATCGATATTGAGCTTGGTATTGAAAAGGTTCTCCCATTACGTAAAAGATACCAAATAATATGTGACCCGGAAATTTTGGTTGGCACGAGAGAAAATTTTGTATCAAAGATTTGGTCGATTTTGGCACACACACTCAAAAAGGTTGCCCACCCCTGCTCTAGAGTCTAGACACAGCCGAGGGAGGATGCGCTGACACACTACTCCTCACAGATGCCCTATATTAGCCTTCCACCTTTGAGAATCCTTTAGAACAAGGTCACACTTATGGCACTTTACACACAGGGCACTTAAGACACTTCACCGAGACTTGAGGTCACTGCACACTGCTCAAAACTCATTGGTCATTCAAACGAATTTTTGGGGGAGACAATGGCGACGGTTGAGTTGGCGGAGCGGGGTCTACCGGTCTTGATTTTACACGAACGCACTTATTTCCACATAAATCGATCACTGATACTCACTGCGCCATGTAGTTGTTCGGGGTACTTAGTTCTAACTACAGGAGCGAACACAAACACCTGTAGAGTTCTGTAGGTTCTATTTAACGGAAGTATACAGGAGTGCGCTTACAATCGCCGTTAGTCCCTACACTCCTATATGGGTCAACTGACCTCTGACCTCTCAGGCGACATGTGGTAAGTGGTACATTTGCAGCTTCCAGATCTCGCCAGGCACATTATCTAAGCGTGTGGTGATATGAAACAGGGGCATTGCCACACGCTACTGACTAGAGAAGTAATGTATATAAGTAAGGTACATACATGGTATACATACAACATACATAATGCACATACAATTCCAAGTTATTCAGGGAAATTAAGGCTATACTAATTAAATTGTTAATAAGTTGACATACAATTAATTCACATATACTGCACCCGTATATATTTCATTTGAAATATACAAAATACTGACAGTGTTTATTGAACCTAATTACTGTAATTTAGCACAGAGACCATTTGGAAAACGATGAAATATAAATATGGTGCATTACCATAAGTAGGCAAATAATAATCTTTTAATGCAAAATAATCAATGTTTTGTATTAGGAAATATTCCCTAGATATCTAAAGTCTTATGTCAAAGCCTATTGACTATATATAAATTGTTTTTATTTACTATTCAGGCGTTATCGCACAATCCTTGGCTAAACATTAATCTCCCAGTGGCTGAATCCCTCGTCCTCCGATTGACTTGATTGTTGAGGGACAAGTGGGTGATCATTTTGATTAAACTCGATATCGTAGGCCAAATCATGAGCCAAAACTAGAATGAGGGGCGGTGCTTATATTGGATATCAATAAAAAATGAACTATAATCTAGTCTAAAAGAGCCGAACATAACCGAATATAACATGAACTATCTTCACCTAACATTACCTAATAGGTATACACAATAGCATAAAACAATGAAAATTGAATTAGTGAAATTTCGTGAATTCTGTTCATTGTATTATTTAGGGTGGTGAAATTTTCTCTAACTGTAAATAGTTTAATGGAATTTCCTCTAGGGAGCGATATCCAGCTGAGAGTTGTGTAGATACGTAGAAAGGTAGTCAGCTGGCCGATCACACATCACCATGACGGTGCCAAATGTTCCTCACCTGTTAAACTCAACTCAGCAGTCCTATCTTTAGTAGTGTGTCACATGCAAAATAAATATGTATCAATAATGAAACCTTTTTAAATCCTTCATAATGCATTGAGGCGTATCTTGCGGATTACTGAAAGTTTGTTTTGAAGGAAAATAAGAAACTGGTGAGTATGCAAGGACATTATAGTCTGTGGGGTTTCGAGATGTTGTCTCACACTCAGGATGAGTTGGAGAAAGGAAACTCACAATGCGCTCTCTGTATATATATTGTATTGGATGTACAATGCAGCTTGGTGCTGGGAAGCTGCTGCGTGGTTAGGAGCTTGCTGGTTCGGGAGCGTGGAGTAGAGAGAGCTGGTTGGTGAGGAGCTTGCTCGGAGGAGGTGTTGTGTGCTGCTGGGCTCAGGTAGAAGAAGGAGGGAGGTCACAGCGAGGTTGAGAGCTTATATAGCGGAGGTAGGCGTGGCTTGATGGCTGACCTGCGCTTTGTCAGACGTCGCTAGTAGCCGACCTTAGACCATGAGGGTGGGTAACCCGAAAGGGGATCGGCTAGTCAGCGACAAACTGCAGTTGTAGGTGTAGGGGAAATTTCCACTACAAGTCCCCAGGGCGCAATTGCGTTAGATAATTACCGATAATTCTAGAAGGCGAGCTCCTTCATCTTAGATAAGATAAACTGTATTTGTTGATACTTGTGTAGTTAATTTTATATTCGTAAGTTTTAATTAAATAGATACAGAAAAGGGGATGTTATATTTTCCTTATTGCCACAAAACATATTTAAGAAGTACAGCATTTCTGTTATGAAGTTCCAAATTGTGACCATAGGTTCCATCAATTACCACAATAGAAGTAGTTTGCAGACTCCTTATTTTCTTATGTTCTTATGTTCTTATAGTTGGGCGACGAGAGTCAGGCACGGTGCCATGACCAATATTGATTGTAAACTTGATATGAGCAAATTTTAGTCTGTGTTTGGTTTTATACGGTTCTGTTTGTTTCTTTTTTTTCATTCTTCTACATATATACTTATAAGTGCCGTTAGAAACCATCTACAATTCGTGTAGGAAACGTATCTCTTATGACGTCAATAGGTTAAGATGTGGTGTAATTACTGTTGTGTGTTTATCGCACAACGGCACAATACAAAATATACATTTTTTTTCTATTTGCGTCTTACTATTCGATGCTTCTGGTTTGAAGTAGATCCAACGAATTCATATAATAATTAAAAATACACTAATCATAATAATGTTATTACAATGAAATAAGGAGAGATCGATCTATTTAAATGACCCGCGCAAGTAAAGCCACGTATATTAGACTCGTGACCTGAAGTTCACTACACTGTTTGATTCCGTTGTGGTTCATCACCTTAGGAATTTTCTTAAATAATATGATTAATACCGACTAGAATGCTACGATATGTTGAAAAATTTATAATAATATTTAAAAATAAGCATAATTACAGTATACTACACTAAATACATATATAAAGTTTAACACATTAACATCATCAGGGCAAGGCGAAATCAATGCTGGAGCTCCGAACATTGTTGACGTATCATGGGTGGCTGATGTAAGTTCCTGTAACATTCTTTAATATTGATACCAAGAGCTCCGTCCTTCATTCGTTTAAGTTACTCCATAACGGTTAGATATTTATTGAAAGTGTTCTTTGGGAAGCCATGAGCGTATAAGCGGAGGAAGACAATATCTGCATAGTTTCTGAAGGTTTCGGATATTTCAGTGGTCGCCATTTGCTTCTGAGGAGTAAAGGTCTGTCAAGGTCTAGCTAAAGCCAGCAAGTAACTATATTCGTCTGCGCCATGGAAGGGATAAACCTACAAAGATTTCGCCGTGGCCTCACCGAAAATCTGTAAGTATATCGCACAGATGACTTTGAAAACCTTATGGAAGTTTTAATTGTGTGAAAATATAACCGTACTGAGGGAGTACGTGATGAACCTGTCGTCCTTATCACTCTGCTAGTTTATGCGTCATTTCGAAGTACCTTGGATAACTTGACTCTTATTTAGTACTCGTGTTCTTTATGAAATGAATCCTTTATTTCGAGTATATTTAGCTTGATTTGTTTGAAAGCTGTCAGCCCTTGTCACAACATATTTCTTGCCTTAGTTTAGTATTATCTGCACAGTGAGTGTTTTGGGCAAAATATTTGGTAAAGGTTTACGAATTTGTTATCATCCGAAGGAAATATGCGATTTGGTTTACATTTTTTGTACAGACTAATAGCATGATATTAAACAGAAATGGAAACTACATAGAACCTAATAGAACCTGACCTAACATACCCATAGGTTGGGTATGTTAGGTCTGGTTTTATTAGCTAGGAAATGTCTCGAAGAGGGATTCAGCGAGGTAAATGCCGTCGGGAGGAGAATTGTGAAGCGGGATTGAGTAATAATTAAAGAAAAAATACTTCAAATTGTAATGGAAAGTTGTCGTTTCTTTTAATATACCCTATTTAAAATCATCAAAAGCAAGAAGTATAGCAAAAATAAAGAAAATCAACAACTTCTAATGATAATAGTTTTGTAAATATTTACCACATATTTATAATATACACCAGAAAATGTAACCTTTATAATAGAAAGTTAGGCATTCATGAAGTGTTAGGGTCAATATTGATTAGATACCCACTGACTCGTTATTTGTTTTGATGATTCTTTTCTGAATATATTCGTAGTGGGTGTTTTACCTTGACCGGCTAAGTTCCTACTTGGTTAACATTGACAACTGACCTGCGGATGAGTTATTTGTTTTGGTGTGTATTTTCTTACTCTTTTTTCATCAGTGAGTACTGATATGATAATCATTTATTATGCAAATGCTTCGTTTGGTAGATATATAAGTGGCTAAGGTGCGCACTACTTTGTCTTCTCAGCGGTAATGCAGCGGTTTTTTATGCGTTATGAACGAATTTGACGTTCATTTCTGGCGCATATCAATAGTTTGAGATAAGCCCCCCCCCCTCCCCCCCCCAATCTCAGATTCTAAAGATTTGTAATAAAAATCAACGTTCAAAGAGTAAATTTATAGAAAAGCACCGTTCTTTCTTTGGATATTAAAAATATGTTTTTCCTATGGATTCTGAGTTTTGAACAAATTTGAAATTCATTTCTGCTGGAAATCACTCGTTTTTTAGATACAACTCCCCCCCTCCCCCAACAATTTTATTGGGAAGAAGTTGGAAAATTTGAGGCTTTTGTAGGGTAAATCACTGAAACGGGTGATTTCCATTGGAGAACAAGGCAAAAAATCTGATTATTTGTGAGAGATTTTCCCAATATTATTTATTTGTATGTGTTTTGTGTGTGTGTGTCTCCTCACACAAACACACACACACACACACACACACACATATATACAATACAGATAAAGGAAATTACTGTCTCTAGAATGAATGGCTCCCTGTCCCAGCCATGAAAATGCCGGCAACTTTAAAACTACCCACAGACATTCTTGGGTACATTCAGAGTGTCATCCGCGAAGAATAGAGGACCGCAAAATAAAAATCCGTGAATTTGGGGTGCTCCATGTACCAATATTCCCACACTGATGATGCTAGTGTCGTTTCCTTAGATGTCCTGTACTGGACCGTATGTGTTACACCCACTTCACCCATGGTGTTGACACAATACTCCCTCATATTGACCCTGATGCCTTAATACAAAACTCACTGGGTTACACCAACCCTAACTGTACTTATTACTTTCCTGGCTCTCCTGAGTTAAGTTCTAGTCTTCTACTACTACCTCATTCCTTCTCCTTAATTCCCCATAACATCAGCAGTATTCCCCTTCACTTAGATACCATTTTTGATCAGTGTACATCTTCTATTGCCCACAAATTTGATGTACTTGGGTTCTGTGAGACCAAACTCACTAACTATATTGAACATTTGTATAATATTCCTAATTATAATGTACACAGCGTCAAAACGTCACAACACAGTGGTGGTGTCACTATATGTTGGTATCAAGTGTAACACTTCTGTAAGAGATGATTTAAAGGTTCAGGAGGAGTTCATGGAGTGTTTTCACTGAATTACGTAATGACACGAAATACCCTAGTAGGAGTAATCTACAGAAGACCCCACACTAATGTAAGGAATTTTCTTGATTAATTTTTGGAGCTTATCATAAATTCAGAGAGGAAACTTTACTACATTACAGGAGATTTCAACCTTGATCTAATAAAATCAGAAACCGACACCTCATTAATAGACCTTTCTACCTGTCATTCTAAACTCTTCTTCAACACTAACCAAACTCACTAGAGTAACTGCCACCTCTGCCACTGTGATAGATTATATCTGGACTAACAACACACCTAACAATCCTGCAAGTGGAATTATTTATAACAGTATCTCAGATCACTTCCCAGTTTTTGCCATGTGTAAATCAGTCACAAGATCCGAAAGGTCTAATAAGAGTCCCAACAAAATACAGAGACTACTGCGCCGACAACATGCTCCTTTTTTAAAACAACTTAATGATTGCTTAGTGAGATCTTGTCTATGCCTCTGACAACCCTAATGTAAGCTGCTGCAACTTCTCTTGCATCTTTAATACTTGCATTGATAAATGCTTCCCCCACAAGACTAAGTAAAGTGAAAACTGTATCCATCTCCAAACCCTATATTACGAGTGAAATCAAGGCAATGATAAAGGAAAAACACACTCAAAAGGAAATTTGCAAAAGACCCATAACTTTTGGTGATCCTTACCGAAGTATCAGAAATAGAGTAACTCAGGCAGTTAGAAATGCCAGACATAGCTATTATACAAATAAGCTCCGGTCAGCATCACGCAACAGTAAGAAAACCTGGAATATCATCTATTCTATTCAGAACAGGAACACCCAACCTTCGGCTCCCCACTCAGCTTTTATGATAAATGATTCAGTTGTAACGGCACCATCCCTCATTACCAACCACCTCAATGACTATTTTATCAATGTTGGCAAAAATCTTGCAGAGAGCATCCCTAATCACCATGAGGAATTTAGAGCCTACCAGCAAAACAGACAGCAAAATGAGCAGCCTCTTATCCTCTGTCACAGCAGATGAATTAGTGACCAGCATAAAAATTTATAAAGATGCAGCAGCAGGCGACGACAATATACCAATGAGCATCATTAAGAAATTAACCCCACCTATTACTACCTGTTCTCTTACACATTTATAACTCCTCCTTCACTAGTGGTGTCTTTCTGGATAAACTGAAAGTTGCTTAAGTTCACCCAGCATATAAAAAATCTGGGGACAAAGGTCTTTTCAAGAATTAACGCTCCATATCAGTCCTCCCAGCCTTAAGTAAGATACTGGAGAAGCTAGCATGTAGTAGTCTAAATTCCTTCTGCAGTGTCAATAACATCCTTACAGACTCTCGGTTTGGATTTAGAGCTAGAAGGTCAACCGAGAGTGCTCTGCTATCCTTTACAAATGACATCTTAAACTCCTTTGATGACAGTCAGTTCACAGTCTATATATTCCTGGATCTCTTTAAACCTTTTGATATTGTCCACAATACCATCCTCCTTTCAAAGCTTGATCATTACAGCGTCAAGGAATCATCCCACAATTGGTTTACCTTATGCAGTGGTCCCTCGATTAACGAACGGTTCAATTAACGAAATTTTGGTTAACGAACTAGCTCCCATAAGGATTTTCAGTTCCATTAACGAACAAAACTTCGATTAACGACAGCCTTACGAGAAACACGCTTTGTTGTGCGCATCAGCTGATCGGTTAGTCTGCCAATACAGTAATTGGCTCTTATGTTTACATTTGTTTCCATTGGAGTAAATATCAAGAAAGTTGTGCTCTTGAATATTTTTGCATTTTTTATATTAAAATTATTAGGCATTCTGAAATTAAGTTAACATATTGATAATACTGTATATACAGTACTGTACAGGGAACAGTTTTTGTGTGCCCTTCAGTTGATCGAATCATCCACCAACGCTTCTCAGTTTAACTGTTTACAGTGGAGTGAACATCTAGTTTGTTGGTCTCTTGAATATTTTTTCATTTTTACATTAAAATTTTTGGTCATTCTGAAATTTAGTTAACATATTGATAATATACAGTGCAGAAATTATTATGACACATGAAGAAGGCATCAGAACCAATGCACTCTGTAAAGAATATGGCATGTCATCATAGACTGCCTTTACAATCGGCTGTTTGATGTAAACAAAGCCACTGGCAATACGACATACACACCTCAAAGTAAGTTAAAATACAGTAATCTATTGTTTGCTTTTTATTATTGTACAGTATACTGTACAGTACAGTACTGTATTTAGTTTATATTTAATGTTTTGTTAATTCTGTTACCGGTATACAGTACAGGTGCTCCTCTACTTACGAACGAGTCACTCCTGTAGATACCGAACATATTGTAAAAAAATGAAAAGATTATGGATATTTAGTACAGCTATACCCTTTAATTCAACCTTAAAACCTGGCTCACTCTTCTCCTGTTAAGTAATGTTTGTTCACTGGAATTTTCTTCAAAATAATCCAGTCTCATCCACATTAAACACCTGTTCTGGCAGGTAACCTCCCTCGGTGATGATGTTTGTATCTCTGAAAGTTTGTAAGTTGAACGTTCTTAAGTAGAGGAGCACCTGTACTTTGTATGTATACTTTTTCTGTGAGTTAGAACCAATTGCCCAATATTCCATTGAAATAATAGATTTAGTTAACAAAATTTTCGGTTAACAACCGACTCTGTGGAACCAATTGTGTTCGTTAATCGAGGGACCATTGTATCTGACAAATAGGAAGCAGTATGTCTGCTATAGTAATCGTCAATATGACTCCTCACCAATTTTGTATGGCATCCC